GTTGCTTTATGAAGAAAGTGTTTTGAACTATAAGACAATTCCGCGTTTGTCAGTCTAGCTCCCACTCTCATAACGTCATTTTCATCTAAAAATAGGTTGAGGTTGACATTTTGTATTGCTGAGCGGTTTGCCATTCAATAGTTGTTTCATTTCGTCTTTGAAGAATTGTTTTTGTGACTGTCGAATGATTGTATTTTTTGCTCTTTGTAATTCTTTCACAGATAAATTTACGGAGTGATGATTTTCCTTTTTCTTACCGAAGCGTAATAAGTGAGCTACTACTCTTTAACCAGCTAGAATATCGATTTATTAGCTTGTCGGTGAATTGACTTTCGGTTTTTGATGTCATTAATATTGTTGCTGTGTTGATATCTGCAACTGTTGCACATTGGTTTTCCGACAATGCTAACCATTTGGGCCCATACCACCAAATATCCATGCTTAGTAATTTGGGAGATGATATACCTCTTGACGCCGAATCAGCAGAATTATCTTTTGTGCTTACGTGTCTCCAGGTTGCTTGTAGAAAGGAGGCGCGCCACAGCTTGTTTCCGAGAATCACCCAAATCTTTATCTTCTTTAAAAGGGATTTTTACAATAAACCGCCCATCATCATCTTGTTTGATGGTTTCTTCAAACTGCATTAAACATGCATCACTTTCTTCGATATTGTTTTCGTCTGGTATTACCTCCAGCTCCCAAAATCGCTCTAGGTTGGTAGTCGTAGATTTTGTCTTGAATTGAACTGAATTTTTTTTTTGTTTGATGATTCCAGATAAAATCCAACCGAATTTTGTTGCTTGTCCAAGAACTCCGTCACTTTTTTTTTACACCGTCTTCAATGATTCGGCTAAATATGTCTCCACCAATTACCATGTCTATTCTATCTGCTTTATTAAACAATGGGTCAGCAAGTGTATAATTTTTCCATCTAGCAGCTGCCTTACACTTTCGACGTTGTCAATATTAATGACTTTATGATCCATTATTCTGTCCCACTGTGTCGTCAACAAAATACGTTTGTTGTCGTACCTTTCTTTAAGGATACTCCATGCTGCTTTGTAATTATCGGCTGATATCTGCAAATGTTGAATCAGACGAGCAGCTTCACCTTTCAAGCAAAGAAGCATTTTTTCAGAGCTAGATATTTGTTCGTTGTTGTGTATTAAATGATAAGCACTGCTAGGTTGAGATTGTATTTCAAATCTAGTCTTATTTTTGTTGAGCAACTCCTTTTATACAAAATGCCTATGTTCTTAAGTTAATTATCAGACCAACGCATAACACATAATAAGTGCATTGGGCTTATCTAAAAGTAAATATATATTTTACCAGCACCTAGCAGAATATTGGAATTCATCAATCTGCTGGGGCTAAGTGAGACGCTGTGAGTTAGTAGAGGGCACAATAGACCCTAGGTCGCGGTGCAATCCTCATTCTTTATCTTATCTTATCTTTACCAGCAAATGGATTTGTATACATTTGCTAGTGTGCATCTATTGCATTTCTATTTGTTAGTTTATGTAAGTACGTGTATTTGTGACTAAGGCACTTGAGATTTATTATGAAGAATACAATAACCACCATAAGGGTGGTTTTTTCTGTATTGTATTCTTATTACATATTTTTCTTTTATTTGCTGCATTTTTGTATGCAGTCAACTGATAGTGGACTGTATTATTATTGTTCAAGTAATTTGAACAGCGGGAGTTTCGAGATGTAGAAGTTAAAGAGTAGCGGGGAGAGGACACCATCCTGCGGAATCCCCTGTTTAATTCTTCTCAGTTTAAATGTTTCACCTCGAAATAGTACGGATGAGTGACGACCGTCCAGATAGTTCATGGTCCATCTCTTTAGCCCTGGAGGAAGCGTAGTTTTTTCAATGTCCTGCAGTAGCGTGTGGTTGACCGTGTCAAAAGCTTTTGACAGGTCCAACGCTACGAGAATCGTTCTCTCACASGGTGGTTTCTGGTTGAGGCCACGAACTATCTGAGCGTTTATGACGCTAAGTGCTGTGGTGGTGCTGTGCACTTTTCGGAATCTATGCTGGTGGCTGGCTAGGCTCAGGTAGTGAGTGAAGGTCGGGAGTAAGAAGGCCTCAAGTGTCGTCACTACTGGGGAGAGAACAGTTTTCGGTCGATAAGATTTGAAGAGTGGTCAGCGAGAGGTTGAGGACCTTGGTGAGATATCTTACTCCCGTCGAACCTAGATGCTTTAGCATTAGCATGTTGATTCCATCGCGCTCCCTATTCATGAGTGCAACTATCTCCTCGATCTCGATTTGGACTTCGTTGCAGTTAAATTGAAGTAGCTGGAGTTTTTTTTTTTTTTTTTTTTTTGATTCTAGGGGTGAGAGAGTGACGTGTGGATGGATGCTGCAGAACCCGCAGAGGCGGTTGTCGCACTGGGGTATTGCTTGGCGACGCCACTGTTGTGTGTTGCGGGGGCAGACTCCTGCAGAATAGGGCAACGTACGTAACTGATGTGACGTTCCGACCTATGACGGTCTGACACACGGAGCAGATTGTGCGAGGAACCAAGAGTTGCTGACTGGGAGCTATGTTACCTGTTTGAGCTCCTGGGGACCGTGGAGGTCCTCTGTTGGCCACTCGGGGTGAGTGGCGGCCCAGCGCGCGAAATATGTGCAGATTGCATAGCCGTAGAGGCTAGCGTCGCAGCATTGGTCCACTCCCTATGAGTCTTAAGGCCTGAACAGGTCTGCACCTGACCGAGGTGTAGCTTGGATGGAGCCTTTTTGCGCAAACGCAGCAGAAAAATTCCTCCGCGCCTGGGTTGGACTCAATGCCAGCACGAGTCAGGAGGATACGGATCAACCCTGCTGCAAGGCGTTGCTCCAACGACGATAAACATATATTAACACTCACCGATCCAAACGGGGTTAGATCGCCGAAAAACAGCCCTTGGTCGGATGAAATTCGAGTGAATTCCGGTACGTAGAACCAGCTGTCGTGGGATTACGATTTTAGTAGTTTTTACCAGTATCGTTATATGGGGAGTGAGCAGGGTTATCTTGCGATTTCATCCGTTTTCGCACTTTCGGTAGGAGTTCTAATAATATTTGTACTAGGCGAATTTGGTTAATGTCGCTTTAGTGGTTTAGGAAATAGGTATTATAGGGCGGAACGACGACCACTTTTTCACAATTTTTGTTTATTCTAAGGAACCCGAGTACCAAGTTTCTTCAACATATCTCAATTTTAACACAAGTTACAGTTTGCACGAATGGACAGGCAGGCAGTCACCCGGCTTTCAACTTTTCTCGTCAACCTGATCATTTATGTATGTATAACCCTATATCTATCTCGCTAGTTTTAGGTGATTCCTACAACCGTTAGGTGAACAAACTATTATACTCTGTAGTAGAAGGTTGCAAAATATAAAAATATTGAGTAAGAATTTTACGTTCATTATTTAAAAAAATCTTGAATGAATTGCAATCATATAGTACATGGTACGAGTATCTTATTATATGCCAGCTCATAGTCTCAATTTTATTACTATATTTAACTTCGTGTCGACGATAATTATGTTATATCAAACAAGACTGAACTACACTATTAGGGTAAAATGAGTGTAGAGATCTGCATTAACTTTTGACATTGCTCAGGTATAGTCATGAATATATTTTCATGCGGGTTTAAAATATTTATATCATAATCCACGATGGATGAATTTAAATTTAAAATTGTGTTATATGCGAAGTTAGCGTGGTTGCGGTCCGATAATAATGCTAGGTAGCGAATTTGGTGAAATTGGTCTTTTAGATCCTGATCCTCTTCACCTAAAGGGGGAATGGTGTCACGCGAATGAAATCTATACTATTAGGCTGAGTTATGACAGAAATTTGCGTGGATGTGCAATAAGAATATTTTTAATATGAATCCACTTAAGTGAACCACCGTGGTTGGTCCTTTTGTGTAAGTGGATTATGGTGAAGTTATGAATACGCCCGCTATATATATCACAATTACTTTTAGGTGATACAAAAAACCGTTAGCTGAACAAAATTTTTAAAAACGGAGAAACATGTTTCCAGGGAATAATGAATTAGTAGTTGGCAATAAATTTGGTAAAAAATCGTATTTCATGGTAGAAAGTTTAATAAGTACTCAGCAACAATGATCCCCAAAGCCATAATGTATAAAAAATAACACGAAAACAGAGATCTTTCACAGTTTTCCGGACAAAATATTTTCAAGTACGGCAAAACTCATCCACCAATGTCTGCTGTAGAAATCCCAGGCGATTTAAATTTATTTTAACTTTAAATCACAGTGAGTGAAATATAATGGTAAGGGAATGTTTCTTGTTCAAAGGCGTGTAACTGATTCATCGAGTTGAAGGCATGATGGACCTGGACGTATAAGTGAATATACTTCAAAATGTTATACTAAACAATGATCCTAAAAATACCTGTAGGGTGGCACAGAAATGGCTTCCGGTCAAAGGAATTGTGGTTATGGACAAGCCAGCCAATTCCAATAAAGTTGTATATAATAAACTGTTTGCTGCATGTGTGAACTAAATTCTTATTTATTTAGAAACGTACTACCGAAAGAGAGTTTTACATTTGCAAAGCAACCAGAGTCCAAACTATTTAAAATTGCTAACAATTAAACAATAGAACAGCAACTCGATCATAGTTGAAAATTGCCTATAATGTCTGAAAATGTATCACAAATGAAAAAATATATATATGTACATTTATGTATACAAACTGATACTTCTTATGCCTTTTTATAGTTAGTACATTCCATATATCGATAATTTAAAGATAAATGCAATTACAATTAATGTGTTTGTTTACATAAGTTTTGGCACACTACTATGACACAAACTTCGCTCATAAAATTATTTCAGCTCTATTTGTTTTTGCAGGGTTATCAGATATACTATATGTATTCTTAAGTATGAGTTTTATGTCTATGCACAAATAGTATTTATATGGTAATGATATATGGTTCTTTTTATTCATAAAGATATGGAGATTTTAACATCATACGCAAATCGAATTTGCATACACAACTCTATACCCATTTACGTTGAAATGCGTTGCCGAGAGATACCGCATGAGAGACGTGATTGCAACCTTCTGTCATTGTACATTAATATATACTATTTCAATGATGAAGATATGGTTGCTAAAATACATTCAATTCAACTTGATGCCGTTCAGGGGTAAAAAATTTACTCTTATATTATTAAACATTTTTTATATTCCTAATTTACTATGTTTACAGTTTACCTGCGGATGTCGTGTACACCACAATAACTGATTCCCGATACTTTATTATGTCTTGGCCACAGCAAAATATATTAGGCAAACCACGATCGGGTCTCTGCAAATATTCATTAACACCAAATCTCGATACCTTGGCAAGCATACGTGACTTCAAACATATTAAACATTGTGTTCGTTATCTAGAATGTACCACAGGTATAGGTGTCTTTCTTCACCACTTACTATATTTAAAAATATTTTTATATATTAATAGATGATAAACTACTTGGCTTTGGAGATACACAACTAACGATATGGGACCATCGTAGTGGTGATGTTTTAATGAACTATGACTTTAATATGAAGCTGGGTCGAAACTTAGGTTCTATTTATTATCCTAGTCTAGAAATCGGTCAAAACAGCGTCCTGTTATTATGTCAATATAAAACAAAAATAAGCGAAAATGAATATGAAGCAGCCGAACTGATATTTATTGCTTGTAGTGTATCACACACAAATCCGTCACATCGAGTTCTGAGACGTTTGAAAACACCTAGCAAAGCTTTTGATGCATTAGAAAACGCAATAAACACTGGTGAGTACATTGTCATAACGGCAAAAAATGACGAGGAAATTTGGATAAATAACTCGGATGCTACTACGATAACAAAAGTACCGCCTCAATATACTAGACGATTCTATGCACGGGGAAGATCACAAATAATAGAATTAACATGTAAAAGTCTTACAGTGGACTCGTTTTCAAATCATGTATTAAAGTTAGCAGCGAATCCAGCTGTTAATGAAACAAAGTCTAATAAGGAGGAGTAATATGGTGATATATTTAAAATATTTGGGGCATCTTTTTTAAGGTGAACTAAGCTGTATAATTTGATTTTTATGTTCAACTCCTTAAAATATATTCTGGAATATGTAGTTATTGTTCTTTTCTTATATACGAATTAACTTTGAATTCAATTCATCCAAAATTTCTAGTTCCCAAAAGTAATAATTTTCTCCGCATCGAAGCTGTATATGCAAATAATTAAAAACGAAAATAGAATATCGTTAATTGTGGAAAAAATATACGAAATATTTAATACCATATTTTTTACTAAATGTCAAAAGTTATCTAACGTTTCAAATAAATTCGTTTCAGAAACGCATACAGATTATTTGAATGGGCAATAAATATATTGTTTATGTTTGTTCATATCTTCTTCATATATTTATAACTAAAAAAATTAATTCAAATCTGGTGAAAAATAAGTTTCTGGAAAATCACTTTAAATTAACTATTTTTGAGAGCTGAGAGTGCTGTACATAAGACGTAAAATTTTTTTTACTAGCGATCAAAATACTTAACATAATTCGGCTTAAGCTTTGAATTAATTGTCACATACTTAAGGATGTCACTGCTGGGAAAAAATGGTCTAACCTTGATATTAGACATGGTCATAAGGTAACACATGATAACTCACTAAGTAATTTTATTTGACTTTATTCACTTTATTTTAAATATCTTTTATGAATACGAAAATTGTAATATTTTAAATAATAGCAATAAAGTTAGTATTAGTGAACTTACAATTAAAAGAGAGTTTTTTTTTCTATGGATGGAAAGGTGATTAGGACATTATACATTTTGATATTAATTTTTAGAAAAAAAAAAACTTAATATTATGTTTTGCTTTTAAATAATCCGACAGTGACTAAAAGGAAGATACAAGACAATTCGCACGACAGCCGGTTGTACGTTACCGAAATTGACCCGGATTTTATCCAGCCAAGGGCTTTTTTAATTCGGCGATCCGACCCTATTTTGATAGGTCAGTTCTAGCTTAAAATTGTCATTATTGAAGCAACTCTTAACAGCAGGATTGCTCCGCAACCCCTTGACCGGCATCGAATCCAACCCGAGCCCGGAGCAACTTTTCTGCTGAGTTTGGGCTACAATGATCTATCCAAACTCTACCTATGTAGGTTTGGTGTAACACATGTAATGGATGGAGCTGTCTGAAGACCTGCTCAGTCCTTAAGATTCACGGAGTGGACCATAAGTTACTCTCCCTAGAAGCTTAAACGGGCAACATTACTCCCAATCTATTTAGACCGAGAACTCCTTCACCGCAATACCCATTCCAACGAACGTAATCGTTGACGAACGTCAATGGGATCCTGCTCGCAGAAGTCGGAAAGGTGGTCCCTCTACAGAAAGCTAGGAAACCCGCCAGCAAAAGGTATTCTTATCACCCGATAACAGTCCTCTCGACAGCTTTAAGCTTTAAGCTTAATTTTTTGCAGTTCTTTGTTTCCGCGCAAGATTTTCCCAACACGTCTAATAAGGCATTCAATGAGTACAGTTAAATCCTTTTCTTCCAAATTTAGGTTAAACAACTGACTCAAATTGAAACTTTCAAGAACTTCATCGAAAAACCGCGTTTTAAAATCTTGTTATGGGGTTTTCCACTTCTACATCTAATTTTTCAACCATCTGTGCAGCATTTGAAAAAATACAATAAAGTTGATGTTCAGCATTCATTCTTCGCCCAAGAATTAGGCTAAAACAGTGTTACGTTTCGGTCTTAAAACTTAAAAAAATGTTGTAAATTCTCTGAATATTTCAGATATCCTTCCAATCAAAGCAATTCGTTCAGAATATGGGAAAAACATGGTATCATCTCAGCGTTTCTAGCTCCTTTTTGGATTTCCTTTACAGCTCCACGATCTCCCAACATAACAATACAACCATCAGTGGCTTTTGCAACGCATTTCGGAACATCCAGCCCTATATCTTTCATGTCTTTCAAAACCAACTGTCCTAATGCAGCTCCCAAAAGTGAAATCTCCTCGTGGTTGTTTTCTTCAATACTTATATACTTCAATATTTTTACTACTGTGATCAAATTTGAATTTTTATACTCTCGCAACAAAGTTGCTAAAGAGAGTATTATAGTTTTGTTCACATAACGGTTGTTTGTAAGTCCTAAAACTAAAAGAGTCAGATATAGTTATTATCAGGTTATATATACCAAAGTGATCAGGGTGACGAGTAGAGTTGAAACCCGGATGTCTGTCCGTCTGTCCGTCTGTCCGTCTGTCCGTCCGCCGTGCAAGCTGTAACTTGAGTAAAAATATCTCAATTTTTACGATGATGAAACTTGGTACACGTATTTCTTGGCTCCATAAGAAGGTTAAGTTCGAAGATGGGCAAAATCGGCCCACTGCCACGCCCACAAAATGGCGGAAACCGAAAACCTATAAAGTGTCATAACTAAGCCATAAATAAAGATATTAAAATGAAATTTGGCACAAAGGATCGCATTAGGGAGGGGCATATTTGGACGTAATTTTTTTGGAAAAGTGGGAGTGGCCCGCCCCTACTAACTTTTTTGTACATATCTCGAAAACTACTATAGCTATGTCAACCAAACTGTATAGAGTCGTTTCTTTTAGGCATTTCCATATACAATTCAAAAACGGAAGAAATCGGATGATAACCACGCCCACCTCCCATACAAAGGTTATGTTGAAAATCACTAAAAGTGCGTTAACCGACTAACAAAAAACGTCAGAAACACTAAATTTTGCGGAAGAAATGTCAGAAGGAAGCTGCATCCAGGCTTTTTTTTCAAATTGAAAATAGGCGTGGCGTCGCCCACTTATGGACCAAAAACCATATCTCAGGAAGTACTCAACCGATTTCAATAAAATTCGGTATATAATATTTTTTTAGCACCCTGATGACGTGTACCAAATATGGGTGAAATCGGTTCACAACCACGCCTGAAATTTCGATTATCACTTTATCATGCGAGAGTATAAAATGTTCGGTGACACCCAAACTTAGCCGTTCTTTACTTGTTTTTATGATGTTTTTGAAGATGTAGCTCGAACGAAGATTCTTTGAGTAGCCATGATGGGGCAAAAGAAATAGACTTTTCCTCAGCTATAGTTGTTATACCTAGATCCTTAACTAATTTAATGCATTTAGAAACAGTGGAAGAAGTATTGGAGTTTGTATCGTCGGCCCATTTGGATTTTACTATACCATATAAGAGCTTGTTATTACATAATAGTAGTTTTGGAATAAGCTTTTGCGAAGTATGTAAAACTCTTTATTCAAGGGATGGGAGTCCGGCTTCCGTTAATGTGAACTTTATTGGTGATGTTTGGAATGCCCGAATATTTCTTCTAACGGCTGCATGGTATGGTGCAAAGATTAACTTTATGTTGCTTCTGGCACAATTGCAGTAGAAAGGGAGACCATAATCAACCTTAGATAAAATTAAAGCTCTTGTAATATTGATGAGAGAAGAAATGTGAATTAAACAATATTTTGATGATAGATACTTAATTATATTAAGCCTAGAAATTAGTTGCTTACGTAGATTTGTACAATGTTCCTTAAAAGTAAGTCTCTTATCAAATATTAAACCTAGGAATTTAAGACTAGTAGTATTTACAATATTGACATTATTATAGTTAAGATAGAAGTTATTACATTTGTGTTTTCTACAGATATGAAATAATTTGCATTTGTTTATAGAAATATTCGCACCTGAATAATTGGACCAATTTGAAATATCAGAAAGGATTTTTAAGAAGGTATTTTTAACAGTATTAAGATTATTTTTCTTGGAGAAGATCAGCACATCATCAGCATAAATAATACGCGAAATGAGTTTATATTTAGAGATTATCGTACTGATTTCGTTAAATGCGATTACAAATAGTGTAACAGACAATGGTGATCCTTGTGGTATTCCGTTGTACATATTGTCATATTGTACGTGTTCGAAAAAGTGTTATTTATTTTAGTCATGAATTTGTGGTTAATTAGGAAAGATTTAATAAAGTTAAATATTTTTTCACTAATTTGACACTTCTCAAGTTGATGAGAACCAACTCTGCCGAAAGCTTTCTCGAAATCCAAACTGAGAGTGGATATGTGGTTTCTTTTCGATAAAGCAGTTTTGGCGAAATCATCAAAATAGAGTAAGGCATCCATAGTGCCTTGCCCTGCCTTAAATGTCACTTGGCTGATTGAGAAGGTTTTTATTTAATGCAAACCACGAGATATGTTTTGATATGATTTTTTTTAATTGTTTGCCCATGCAACAAAGGAGTGATATTGGCCTGTAACCAAGAACATCTGTAGACACTACATTGGATTTAGGAATTGCTACAATCACTGCATTTTTCCAGCTTTGAGGGTGGACACCTTGACATAAAATATTGTTGTACAATTTAACAATTCTATTTTTAAGACTTAAAGGACAGTTTTTTAGCATGGGAATGAAATCCTGTCTTGCCTGACATTGAAGATAAAGTGAAATCGAATTCTACGATGGATATGTTTGATTTGGTAATAGATGGGGGTGAGAGAACTTTACTGTACCTTCTTCTGAGAAGTAAATTTTTATTTGATACAAACGAGGGGTGGAAGTTTGAATCTCTCGAATAATCGAACCATGATTAGCTATTTCTCTTGAGTCGAAAATTGGGCCACTTGAGGTGTTTATACAATTAAAATTCACGTTCGTATATTAGATTGAGAGCATTTTTATGTCGGCCCATAATTTCTTGGGATTTGTTAACTGAGTGATAGCTTCGGTAATATTTTGTAAGCAAGTCCTCTTAGCTTCTTTAATATTTCTCCGAAACATTGCATTGGCTTTTTTGTGTTTTATTAGATTATCAATAGAGCGAGTTCTTTTGTAAATTAACCATAGTGATTGTTTTTCTTCTCTAAGTTTAGATAACTCCATAGACCAAGAAGGCACATGATTTTTGAAGATTTTTTTACCCGTTTAGGGGATAGATAGGTGAGCAGAAGTTTTGATTATTTTGGTAATCGTAGCTGTTTCTTTATTTATATTATTGTCTATAGGAGGACTTGCAGCAGACAAGTTTCCGCAGAGTTGTTGAAATTT